AGTTCCATCTACGCAGTATCAGTTCCAGTCAATATACTTCAGTGACCATATATGTAAAAAGAAATAAAACCTCCATGAACCACTCACTCACACATCTGAGTGTTGCAGCGATACACTCGTATTCCCCAACTGCCTCTATTACATGCACATATCGTGAAGACGTCTTTCCACAGTTACCTCAATAGATCCCTCGGTTCCCTTCAAATTCCTACAGGGACTTGGGGGTGGGGTGGGGGGGTGGTGTCCATCAAGCATGTACATATATATCCGTCCGTGAGGGACGGATAGCTCACCCGTCTCATAACGACATGACGTGGTGCCTCTCCAGGGCCCCAGACAATGGCGTGATGGCGCTTTTGTCTGTCGCTTGTTCCGTACCTGTTTCATCATAGCTGACACTAAACCACAAACTATGCAGTCCTTCCATTCTTCGAGCCTTACACAAACGAATATATAATAAGGTACACACACGTGTGAGGACCGAACTGTCGGATATATCACTTGTGTGATGCATCAGTAGTAGTATAGATTGTGGATGGGGATGACCTCCGGGGTGTGATACAGAGAACCACCCTGTCATGGTTACAGCAATGTTTGTATTGAGAGGAAGGTGATGTTGTCATGAGCGAAGTGATCATACCAACGTACAGTGTGTAGATAGCACATGTAAGTTACAATGGGTTACGCTCGTCACGCCGAAGGACCCGGGTTCGATTCCCCACTTGGGTACAATGTGTGAAGCCCATTTCTGGTCTACCCGCGTGATATTGCTGGAATATTGCTAAAAGCGGCGTTAAACCCAACTCACTCACTCACTCACTACATTATATTTGCAACGAAGGGTTTTTGTTAACTTTTACCATAAAGAGAATACCCAGTAGAATTAATGGCAGAACGTACACGATAACCAGCCATTATGTTTGCGAGAATGTAGGACAACACCTCCTTAGCATCTTCACAGTATGCTCTCACTGCAAGATCAAAGTACTAGTATACATGCTCGACTGCAGTATTACTCTTAACATGAAATAGTGATGTTCTGATGCGCCTCACTCCTAACATATGACATACATGTATTTCCGACATCAGTCGTGATGTCTTTGCCCTGTCCGTGGGGATCGCTCGAAGACATTAGTATTTACAATTGATGCTGTCGAACAGAGCAAATGCAAATTCTATGCTAAGTATGGATTTAGTGGGTACGTCTGGCACCATGGGGGGTGCCGAATACACGTTTACTAGTGAGGTGAGGTGAAATTGGGTTTAACGTCGCGCTGGAGAATATTTCGCTCATATGACGACGTGCATGCGTGTGTATGTGTATGTGCGGCTGCTTGTACTAGCCCAGACTGAAGCTTGTTTTATAGTGCTAGCCCACTGAGATACCCTGCCGCAGTGAAGCATGAATACCCCACTCAGACACATTATACTGACTCCGAGCCGACCAGTCCTTGTTGTACCCATTAATGCCGAGCGCCAGGCAGGGACCAACAAGTACCATATTTTAACATCTTTTGGTATGACGCCGTCGGGGATCGAACCCGCGACGTTCCGCTCTCCGGGCAGACGCTCTAACCACTACACCACGGAGGCGGTCTCGTATACTAGTAGTTACTGTAGCCGACTTGAATCGGGTAGATACCCAGGCATTGGTGACAGAGAGAGAGGTTGGAACTATGGGATTGAGGTGGGATGTCGTCGAGTTGGGTTGCCGTCGAGGTGGACGCTGTTGGTCAGTTTTGGTTTTGTTTGCTTGTTGTTTAACGTCGCACTCAGCAATATTCCAGCTGTATGGCGGCTGTCTGTAAATAATCGAGTTTGAACTAGATAATAAAGTGATCAACAGCATGAACATCGATTTACGCATTTGGAATACGATGGCACGTGCCAACCAAGTCAGCGAGCGTGACCACCCGATCCCGTTAGTCGCCTCTTACGAAAAGCATTGGTTGCTGAAGACCAATTCTAACCCGGATCTTCACGGGTGTGTTGGTCAGTAGCGATGGTCTCTCTTAGTTGGAAGCAATGGACATTGAAATGGATCGTCGATGGTTTGATGAGGCAGTCACCGCTTGTAAAACATGACTGTGACAGTGGTGAAACACACAGTTCAAAGATAGTGAAACCAGTGTCCTGGTGGGTCAACGGGTCAGCTGAACGTTCGTTAGAATGAGCTCGATGCATCTGAAGTCCTCGATTTTAAAAGCGCTGACATGATTTTGATTACAGGGTTAAAAACAGTTATTTAGTGCGTGAGGGTGATTAAACAGAGCCAGAATAGCCTTGTTGCTGGATGTAGACTCCAGACGAAATTGATGTAGAAGATAGGCAAACTAACAGCAGATCTTGCTGCTTTGAGGAACTGGACCGTTGTTCCACCAACATATCCGCCTCAGATGTTGATGCTCTGAGGATATACGTTCTGCTGGTTCACAATCATATATACAGTTAATTAGCATAACTGACATTCCTGAACCGTTCCTAAAAAGGCTGTCGCTATCTGTGACTCTTGCCTCTGATACTTGAGTTGGGTTCAGCTCTAATTATCTAGAACTACAGGGAGTGTTAGCATTGTTGTTGTTTACATCCTTGGTTACATAACAGTATGCAGATTAAAGAATGTGACTTCCCATATACATGGTGGCATATAGAGCTAATGCTGCTTCCCACTGTTTCATCATATCAGGTAATTCGATCGAAAAATCCTGAACAATTATTCATTAGTCATAGATCAATGTGTCAATCAATCAGTGTGATCAATCGATATGCCGAACTAAATTCACTGAGTGCTTTTAGCAATCGGCTATAGCTCATATGATTTGTCTCATCCTCACACCGTGAGATTAACCTGGTCTTTTAATGACGTATGTTCTTCTTTCATTTCATATCTCTTAATATCCTTCAGATATGATTAGTACAGCTCGTAATAAATAAAGGACTAAAGGCCACTTGATAGTTTGTCGTCGCGTTCCTGAAATATGTAGTGACCTTGTGTGACTGTCGATCTGAAATGGCATATGTCCAACCTTGGAATGCCTAATGGTTAGGTAAACACAATCACTGTACAAATGCTCATTAAACTTGTAACACCATATTTATTATAGACTGAATATATACAATGCTGTGATCTCAAGGGTATTTTCATATACCACGGAACCTATAACTTACTGCCCTTAGGAAACCTGGGTGTACAAACAGGTGCTAGGAGATAACCTAATACAGACTCACGTCAAACATAGGTCCCCGTGAAGATTCTATTTTACTTTTAAAATATACAAAATGTATACCATTTTCATAATGTCAATACTGTCATTTGGTGATTTAATGTGAGCCTTTTTTGTGGCTTTTTAAAATTATTTTTGTGACCGCTTTGACGATCTGTTTTTGGCCATGTTGGCTGTATTCCATGCGAGGCAAGCAGCGGCATCTGGTGGTCTGACTTGTTGATGCATTGTATCTTTGTTGCGTTGATCGATAATATTGAAGTCAATCACTGGACTGATTAATCATGAACTGTTATTCAAACCGCCGTCATGAAGTTGGAATATTTCTAGGAGCGGCGTTAACAACAGTAACAACAATAAACAACATCGGTCTACTTGTATTTCAGGTGTTTGCGTTAATGACTGTTACGCTGGACCTAAAGGTGGCAGCGGGTAAGTATTATCGTCATTATTCTGTCAGAAGTAGAAATACACATGACACATGTGCAGCAGAATACACACACATGTGCAGCAGAATACACACACATGTGCATATTTTGGTGTCCGCCCGGGAAAGCCACATTTGAAAAATACCAATTGCCGCTGAAGCCACATTTCAACTACAAAGTTCGGTGCCGAGAATCGCCGCGAAAGCCACAATGAGTAAGGGAATCAATACCGCTTTTTCAAATAAGCGTCACTCATGGATCACAAATTGCGCATGAGAATACACACACATGTGCAGCAGAATACACACACACAAAGGGCCTGATCTGACCCAAAACCCACACGTGGGGTATGGTGGGCGAGCTGTCTAAGGTGAGCTGTCTTTGGAGAGCGACATCATTTTCAACTTATAAATTCTCAAATGTGGCTTTTCCGGGCTATAACCCATATTGTAGTGTAGCAGTGTTAACTTCAATGTACATCTCATATATGAAATATCATATTGTATCCAATTTTCATGCGGCTTGAAATGAAGTACGTTTGAATTTTCTGCCCTTGGGTAGAGGCTGTAGACTAAAGTATGCTTTGGAACTTTATGCTGGCGACGATATAACGGCTTTGTGGCGTGTGATTTGGGTAGTTCGCAAGAGTATTAGGACAGGTACCCAAAGGAACAATAACGTATGAAGGAATTATTACATTAGTAGGAATATGTTAGAATGTTTCTTCTTGATCGGAGAGTTCTTGATATACCAGCGTGCAAATGATAAACACTGCTATGACTGTTCTGTATCGTATCTCAGTAATATGAAGCAGACAGCGCAAACTTAAAGTCGTCACTTCGCCATTGCCTCTAATAGTGCTCACGTTCGATTTCAAATTTTTGATGACGCAGAGGGAATCATGTTGACCAAGGTATGATAACCCAAGTTGACCTTCACTAAACCGTGTTAGAATATGCTAACTGATTAACGTCATACGTTTGTTCACCAAAGATTAACTGAACCCCGGGGTACTCCAAGAGGTTAATTAGTAACTAATTAACATCCACAAAGTTAGGGCCAAGCCGTATGAACATCCACAGAGTTAGGGCCAAGCCGTATGAACATCCACAAAGTTAGGGCCAAGCCGTATCAAACTGCACAGAATGAAGGCCAAGCCGTATCAAACTGCACAGAATGAAGGACAAGCCGAATGGACCTCCACAGAGTGAGGGCCAAGCCGTATGAACCTCCACGAAGTTAGGGCCAAGCTGTATGAACCTCCACGAAGTTAGGGCCAAGCCGTATGAACCTCCAACAAAGTTAGGGCCAAGCCGTATGAACCTCAACAAAGTTAGGGCCAAGCCGTATGAACCTCAACAAAGTTAGGGCCAAGCCGTATGAACCTCCAACAAAGTTAGGGCCAAGCCGTATCAAACTGCACAGAATGAAGGCCAAGCCGTATGAACCTCCACAGAGTGAAGGCCTAGCTTACGAAAATCGGGGCTTTATTTTAAACTTATGTACACAGCAGATAAGAGTCGAAAACGCATGCTCTTTGATACATTAGATTGCAAATGTTAAATTATTTCTGCGTTTCAAGGGCACCATATGACATATGTTCGAATGGGTGTAGTGTTGATTTCTGGTTTGTAAGAAAAACATGCTTTTCACGACGGGATGACAGACTCAAATATGTGCTGACCTGTTGCCTTCCAAATAAAAAATAAATAATAAACAAACTGCACAGACTGCACAGACTGCAGACACAACGAACATAAACCTTATACGGTTCAATATCTTTCACAATATATACATCATGAGACATCTTCAAGTGAACTCGCGCCTTTCTAATCATGCCAGAGTTTCAACTGACGAATGTATGGATATTAGGTGGAAACAATGTATTGTCCATTTCAGGTGTGACATCACTATCTGCATGTGTCGGTTTGAACGGATTCAGTGACCTGGGCACCACAGGGATGTGTGTGGCGCCGGTGGAAAAGATGTCATGGTCAAGAGCCAGTAGATACTGCCAGTCTCTCGGTGCTCGTATTGTCATTGTCGACACTCAGCAGAAGGCGACAGCAATGAACAACTACATACAGACAGAATGTAAGTCTCTATCTTACATACCATAGACCATATAGTGCTCTCTCTCTCTCTCTCTCTCTCTCTCTCTCTCTCTCTCTCTCTCTCTCTCTCTCTCCCTCTCTCTCTCTGACCTCTCTCTCTCTCTCTCTCTCTCTCTCGACCTCTCTCTCTCTCTCGACCTCTCTCTCTCGACCTCTCTCTCTCTCGACCTCCCTCTCGACCGACCTCTCGACCTCGACCTCTCGAGACCTCTCTATCGACCTCTCTCGACCATATACAGCGTAATGTCTCGGTCTTGCATATCCTATAGCATATAAGGCTATTAGAAATAGCTACCAACCAACTCTCATACATACCCAAGAGCATAAAAAGCATATTGGATAAAGCACCCAAGCAACTCTTACATATCCCAGAGCATATAAAGCGTATTACATAAAACAATCAACCACGTCCATTCCGTTAGTTGTTTTTCCTCATGTGAAACAAAGTATCGAGGATTCCTTAATACTCAAGGTTCCTGTACGGAATTAAATCTGCATTTAATTATGCATTACTGTATTTCTGGGACTTTATGTTATGCTACAAATCCTTGCAAATTTTGTAAATATCTTTCAAAACATACTTAATGTCCATATTTTGGGTGTAAATAACGTTATGATCAGCTGAATATGCTACATGTATATAAACTCATGGGCGAAAGAAACGTCACCTCGCTTTTTAACATGTCACAAAACAACAAACTCAGATTTTGGAAATGTAACAGTCATATTTGGAAAATTAATGGTTTAACAACATTCTGAATGATGAAAGTGTGAACTACAGATTTGAATGACAACATAGTGTACAATTGAATAGAGGACAGTTGACTGTCCAGTATTCGAGCACCACCTGTTTCATCTAAAGCGGCTGTAAACTGAAGACAGACAGTTTAATACAGTCAATATCGTGTGTGGTCACCCCTGGCTTGTATGCAAGCATGGACACGGCGTCTAGCGGATAATGTCAGTCGTCTGATCACATGTATCGGGATTCTCCGCCATTCTTCCTGTAGGGCCTGTGCCAACGCCTCTCTTGTCTGTATGGGTGGCTGTCACTTGTTGATTTGTCGCCCAAGGTGGTCCCACGGGTGCTCAATCGGGGACAAGTCGGGAGATCGAGCTGGCCAAGGAAGTAACGTCACATTCTGGGCATTAAGGGAGTCCATACTGATGCGTGCCTTATGAGGTGTGGCGTTGTCTTGTTGGAACATGGTACGTGGGTGATTCTGGATGAATGGCACGTCGACTGGTCTTAAGACTTCATTGATGTACCGTGCAGCTGTTAGATTACCATGAATCACAATAAGATCAGTCTTTATGTCGCCACAAATCCCTCCCCAGACCATCACGCTTCCACCACCATAGTGGTTGGTCTCTTGTACGCAGCAACGTCGTGTACGTTCTCCCCGCCTTCGGTATACCCGTTGTCTACCGTCTGGTTTAAACACTTGGAAACGGCTTTCATCGGTAAAGAGCACTCTGGACCAGTTTCTTGCCTGCCATCGCTCAACAGTTCAGGCGTCAACGTCATAGCCTTCAGCGGTCGATAGGCTCTGATACCACGGTGTCGAAGACGTCTGGCAACGGTCCTTCTGCTGACCCGATGGCCAAGAGCAGTTCGGGCGGATGACGTCACAGTTACGAAGCGGTTCCTCAAGTGAAGCAGTCGTAAATAACGGTCTTCCTGGGTGGTCGTGACCCTCGGACGTCCACTTCTAGGCCTGTCAGACGTGACACCCGTCCGTCTGTAACGGCTCACCAATCTCAGGATTGTTCGCGTTGAACAGTTCATCAACCTTGCAACATGAGACTGCGTCGCTCCCAAATCGAGCATACCAATAGCTCGTTCTCTCAGCTGTGCTGTTAGCCTCGGCATGTTTCCTTTCTACCATACGATGTGATAATGGAATACATCATTTCTCTACACATTTTATACCTGAATTCAATACGGCTTTTTACGAAGGGATTTTGCAAAATTCCGTGCAAATTTAACATTTTTACACAAATTACATGAATCTCGTGCAATTCAATGCGTAGTGTATGTTGGTTGCGTTCGGGCAAGTTGTTTCAACCCGTTTTTTATTGAAAAAAATACAAAGGTACGTTAAAGAATGAAACATAATTTTGGTGACGTTTCTTTTGCCCGTGAGTTTAGTACCTCAGATATGACGCTACTGCGACACCGTCTAGACCTAGACCGATAATTTGGCGTCATTAATTCCCCGTCTAGACCGACAGATGTTTGGATGTGGTGTGAGCAGTGACATATATTGGAAACTGGATGTATGGTAATTTTGTATGTCCCATCCCCGAGTTCCAGGGTTTCATTCAAACCCCATCAATCATGAAACCTACCAACTCTTTATTGTTATTTCTGAAAGTCGATTCAAACCCCATCAATCATGACACCTACCAACTCTTTATTGTTATTTCTGCAAGTCGATTCAAACCCCACCAATCATGAAACCTACCAACTCTTTATTGTTATTTCTGCAAGTCGATTCAAACCTGATTTGGACTCTTAACTAAACGATCTTGACACAAATTGGATGACGATATCTCCGCACAAAACTGGGGTGTGGTCGAAGCAAGCCCTCTGATTGGTCAACGCTTGCAAATCTGCAATTCTTTATAAATTCGCGGGATTTTTTTCTTTCATCGACTGCTTAATGTAAGAATAATTTTCGAGCAATGGCTTCTCAAAAGAAAGCATCAGTTGTGAGGGTCTCCTAAACAAGGATCAACCAACCAGAGGGCTTGCTTTGACCACACACCCGTTTTGTGCGGACACATCGTCATCCATCGAATGCATGCGATGGTAGCGTAGCGATCGGCAAAGCAGTCTGGTGGGGTGCACCGAAGTGTCCGGCCTTGTCATGATGTTCGAGTCGGGGATCATCTCAAATGTTTTATGTTTTTTTAACATATTTAATCCTCGCAAAGACACGAGGGCCTGGCTGTGATATACTTGAAATACTATTCACAACAGCGGCAACGCATCATTGTCATAGCAGTAGTGGTAGAGATAGAGGTAGTACTAGTAGCATTGATTAGTGTTAAAGGGAAGACATATATGTAAAACTTGTAGCGGCAGTAGCATCAGCAGTAGCAGTCGTGGTGATTTTGATGGAGGGGCTCGTCGTCGTCGTAGTAGTACAGTACAACCAGAAATTATTGAGAATTTAAGATTGAATTTTTATATATTTTTTCACTCATTACTCACGTATTAAATGTGAATATTAGCAGACCATTACTCCAGATTCAAAGACAGTTAGTATTTTGTCAAGTCACCATGGGCAGCAATGCAGGCTTTAATGCGGCGGGGCATCCTACTGATCAAAGAAGTTAGAAAGTCGTGGTCCATGCTGTCCCAATATCGGACCACCTCTTCTTTCATTTCAGCAATATTGTTTCTTGTCGACACTTTCCTTCATAAGTCCCCAAACATTTTCTATTGGATTTAGGTCGGGACTATAGCTTGGCCAATCTAATAATGTCATATTTTGGGTCCGAAACCAGGCCTGTGAATGCTTTGAACGATGTTTTGGGTCGTTGTCCTGCTGGAAAATCCAAAAATTTCCATAGAACACGTGAGCAGATGGAAGTAAATGTCCCTCGAGAATATCTGTGTACCGCTCACTGTTCATATTCCCTTCAAATACACAGAGGGGCGTTGCCCCTAACACAGATATGCCACCCCACACGTTAAATTTCGGACTGTACTTTGGGCGCTGATACAAAGCTTTTTCAGTTTGTTTGGTCAGAATTTCAGTGTATTAGGAAACGCCACACAGAACTTTCATCTGAAAATCACATTGTCCCAGTTAAAATTTCTATGCTGTAAGCACCAGTTCAACCTTCGCTCCTTTTGTTCAGTTTTCCAGATTGGTGATGGAATTCCTTCACTTTTCTGCCAACCCATTGCATGCAGCTCAGTTCTAATTGTCTCCTTACAGACAGCCACAGTTCCTCTATCAATCATATCCGGCCTTAAGTTTTCTAAACTCCTTCGTTTGATTTTAGAAACAAAAATACCAAGCCGCCTCCTGTCACTGACAGTCAATTTTCTGGGCCTACCTGCGCCTCCCTGGTGCTCATTGCCATATCCATTTGCAATATTTTTCAAAACACGATAAACAGTGGACAAAGGGATGCCTGTTCTACTTGAAATCACTTTAGCTGAACTGATGTCCTTGCTATAATACTCTAAAATCAACTTCCTCTTCTCTAAATCATCCATACTGAGGATCACTGAAAATGTCGCCTGCTAGCAAGTAAACAAAGGGGGATAACTCTTCACAAACTAAGGAAAAAGGATTAACGGAGTTGTCTCTCTTGAATGAAACCAAGCACTTGATAGCTGGTCAAGGTTGTTTATACTAGAAATCCAATTAAACATATTCCTAAAATTCTCAATAATTTCTGGTCATACTAGTAGTAGTAGCAGCAGCAGCAGCAGTAGTAGTAGTAGTAGTAGTAGTGGTAGTAGCTATAGTAGTAGACTGATACCGACTGACAAATGTTGCAGTTCCCAGCGCCAACTTCGTGTGGATCGGTGGGGTAAGCTACTCTTCACTATCAAGCTCCACCCACAGATTCCACCAGAAATGGGTGTGGACCGACTGTCGCGCCATCAGTGGGACGTACCACTCCTGGGCCCCCGGGCAACCATCAGGAACAGTAGACAAGTGCGCCGCCATTAAGCTCAGTGACTTCCAATGGAATGACGGACCGTGTTCTTACTCATCTAATTCTGTGTGTGAGAAGGTCACCTCCCACCCCCTGTACGAGATTATCGACAACACCGATGACATTTGTCCTTCCTCAGGTAATACATTGTCGATCGATTACATAACATTGTAGTCAACACTACCGCGTTCGTTTATGTGAAGCCGACTTTGGGATCGAATGGTTTCAGTGCGAGATTTGGCCGATATTCTTCGACGTTGTCGCTTATGCTGTCAACCACTGATTTGCCTGCACCAGATTCGATCATTCACATGCCGTTATTACATACTTAGCACTGCTGGCTGCGGCGTAAAACAATACATGTACAAAGACAAACCGATATTCAAAGGCCCGGATGGCCCCACTATGAATAACAACTTGTTGTGCAGAATTAAATCCCTTAACTGCAATGATCCGCTGATCGAAGTACGATATTCCAGGTTCGACTGCTTTATGATCCTTTGTCATCCCCATGTCAGGTGGCTTCCCCTCCGAATTGACATCTTCTAGCTGAAATGCCGGACAAAATATGCAGTAATTCTAATCCATTCACTGAGCTATATGTATAGGCTCGATCCAAATAGCTCTAAAAATGTCAGATGGCGAATTGATATTATATACATTGATTTACTTACAGATCAAACAACTACGACTACTAGCTCTACTACAACTACGACAACAACTCCAACCACTATGGGCACAACTACACCAAGAACCACTACCACTACTCCAACGACCACTACTCTCACGACTACTACACCGACCACTACTCTAGCAACTACTACACCGACCACTACTCCCACGACTACTACACCGACCACTACTCTAGCAACTACTACACCGACCACTACTCCCACGACTACTACACCGACCACTACTCTAGAAACTACTACACCGACCACTACTCCCACGACTACTACACCGACCACTACTCTAGCAACTACTACACCGACCACTACTCCCACGACTACTACACCGACCACTACTCCCACGACTACTACACCGACCACTACTCCAACAGCTACTACATCAACGACCACTACTCGAACGACCACTGCACTACCGACTACTACACCGACCACTACTTCAATAACTACTACATCAACGACCACAGCTCCAGTATACTCAACTACGGTGGGAACTACATCTGCTACGATTTCAGAGTTGACCAAAACGACGGACACATCACATTCTGTCCTAACCCAGAAACAGACGACGTCATTCAATCCCAACCCTTCGCGTACCAAAACAACAGTCTGTACGTGTTTCTGCAAGTCAAAGGGCAGACTGGAAGTTATAACAGAAAAAAATGTAAACGAAAAGCAAGAACAACTAAAACGCAAACTCACCGTTGACAAAAAGGAACTTACCCAGACCACTGCCAGATACACAAGTGCACCAGACCGCCGTCAATCTTCTTCCGGTATAGGTGTCACCTCGCTTGCAATCATCTTAATCCCGTTCGGTCTCGTGGTAATCTCGGATATCTCAGCAGTATGCCAGATACTTATTAACAAATATAAGACAGGCTGACTGCACTGACTGACTTGTATTACCTTATATACACAGACATATTTCAGGACGTGTTTTGTCTGTGGTGCACGTAAAGTATTAATCGTGTTTAAATAGAAAATGTGACAAAATTGTCTATTTTTGATAATTATCAGTGACTGAGGTTCACAAAGTATTTTCTTGTATCTGCATTGGTAGTATGATTTACAGTGATTCAGATTGATTTAAGAGTTGCGTTCAACCACGAACTTTACCCAAGCTGCCTGTGAGGCGCTAGAAGGTTGATAGTCCTATGACCCGTCATCCACATGCGTGTATTAAAAAGAGAAATATCCAATGGCTATTCCTTGTCAAGACAAGAGCGACAAGAGGGCGGTCCGAGACCTCTCACAGAATAATATTATCTACACGCTACGTGAAATCAGCTACCAGTTTGAAAAACTATTTGGATTACATGACTCTTTCAAGACATCCGTAAACATTCGTGAACAAGTTCTGGACACCTTGTCCGCAGATCTTCGAGCAGGGAGGTATCGCATTGGCTCTTTTACCGTATTGGAGTTTACCTTGTTGGGCAGACACTGATGACCAACCCTGACCAAGGTCGTCACAGGTTCTCTCAATAGGAAATAAATTACAACTTTGGACTTCGCACATTACACCCATGTCGGGAATCGAACTCGAGTTTTCGACATGACGAGCGAACGCTTTCGCCACGAGACTACTCCACCACCCGTAAAATGATCGACTTTGTAAAGTATTGTGTGGTTCAGATGTGACCCGCCATGAAAACTCCATAGTCCAGTGGATGGAGTGTCTGACCAAAGAGTGGTTCGATGCGTTATACCAGAACATGGTATTTATTGTTACCCTGCCTGACAGGATCAGAATCCGTATGATGGGACTGAGTTATTCATGTTGTACCACGGCACGGTGTCTTAGTGAGCACACCGAGGCACAACATTTGTCTATGAGCATACATACAGTGTTTCATCATTTTTTTTAAAAAATAAACAAAACTTTCAAAATATTAAAATATATCTGTATGATTTATTGATACAGCACGTGTAAATGTAAGTGCGTTTAATGATGCTTCAGTTTGATTCAGCGATGAGAGAGTTGAGTCCTGCCGCCACTTCCAGAGCTTCTACAGATAACTGACTTCCTTCTGACCTTGATCTTTGACCTTGAAGCTTCTCCAAGAATAATTCGAGATCTTGCATGAATAAACCTGAAATATCGAATTCCTACATGGATCAGAAAATGTTCCTAATTCAACATAACATGGGGATTCCGAAACAGAATGGTGACAATTACCGCAGTCTTATAGGGCTGGGACGGATACTCGAATCCGGTCGGGTATAGCTGGAATCGAGTACTATTTCTAGGAATCGAGTACCCGGAAAAGGAGAAGGCCACATAATAACTTGTCTTTTTCATTATTGACGTGACACACGTTTGCATCATACTGGTATTGTCCGATTAATGGAGGTCATTATTAACGACTGTATATCATGTATATATCTGAGCATGAGCAGTGAGGAGTCAATTTAAAGTAACAGCGGTAACCAAAAGTCCTGTGTTTTAACGAGGAATGCATGTAATTGTGTTACTCTCTGTATTGGTTAAATAGACGTAAATAAAATAGCCTACGTTCAGTTTCAGTGTCTTATTGCCATCCTTTCAAGGTTTGTATGAAAATCTCCGTCAACTCGTGATTGAATATTCAGAAAGTTGACAGAAGCGCTTTATTCAGTACATTTCCGGGTACTCGATTCCGATTCGGGTAAGTACATGCGGGTACTCGATTCCATTTTTTCTTATCCGTCCCAGCCCTACAGTCTTATGATGAAATCCCCTAACTGGTGATCGGATGTTAAAGGTCACATGCAACCAAAAAATCAAACATAATTAAAACACAATTATCACTTATTTGTGACATATAATATACATTGCTGGTTATGAAAAAACATATAAACAAAATTATAAGCGTACAATCGCAAATCAAAAGTGCAATATTGTGTACTTCGGTTTACTTCCCAAGAAACGAAGCAGCCGGGATACCGAACCCAGTCAGAGCGGGTGGGTGTGCACTCAAGTGTAACGGCTGGTTCATTTGCAGATGCCCTCACGGCTTATTGTGTGTGTATATAAAGAGATGTTGGGTTTTGTAAATACATGCTCATTTTTTGTGTATAACATTTTGCAATCAACAGACATCATAACATGTCATGTGTTCAAGTATCACACCTGCCTGTCTGTGTAATAACATAATGTGACAGAGACCGAACTCGGGCCATAAATCAATGCATTTTGTTTATGGTGTATAGCCTGATTGGTGTTAAGTTCAAATTGCATGTGGTCAGTGATAGCAGCTGTGTATTGACTATTGTCATTAGCAGACAGGCAGGCAGACACACAGGTGTCAGTAAAACAAGACATTGAGTTTTGTCTGTGACAACGACATATCTATATCACAGTTAGAAATTCTGTCAACGCTAAATAATGACATTGCTTTCAAGTATCGAACTGAGAAAGTGACTCGGTAAGAAGAACGTGTGGTGAAATAGACAAATGAAATTATATAAACAGTTAATTTACTGTCATAACATATAAAATGCTCGCGCCTGTGAGATATCAACAAAACATTAGAAAAATAGCTCACACCAAAGCCTTCAGCGAGTATTCACCGGACAACGCGCTTCCAAGCTGCACGGACCTATTTCACTGCGCACGTGCTATGAGCTCAGCCCAGCTGTTGAAACCCGTTTTCCCCAGAAAAGTCTGGGGAAAATTAGTGAAACGTTTGAACTCCGATTTCGCGCGTTTTTTTTCATCGAGTTATTTTTCAACTTTATAAGTTGAATTTGCATTTTTGACAATATGTTTCGGTAAGTCCATACCGAAAGGTATCAGAATCTGCAAAGTTGTGTTTTACGTTGCATGTGACCTTTAACAAAGTGGCCATGCAGTCAGCCACTGTTTCCACGCCAAACACCCAGTAACCCCATTACCCATTAAATCATATCGATCATAAGGTTCAGTGTTTGCCGGGCGCGTCTGTATATGATATTCAGAGAGATTGAGGGAGTCCGGATTATAAAGCAAGCTTTAATTATATATTAAGAACAATTTTGCCGGGACTGAGAGAGTAGTCAGGATTATGGAGAAAACCGGTTTACAAAGAGTCCGGATTTGACAGATTCCACTGTATGACAACACTCCAGTTGCCAGTACTGTACCTTTCTTTCTTTGATTCCCAGGTCCTGGAGCTGCCGGGGTGGATTCGCCACGCCCTGGGGTTGACTGGGGTGGTTTGTCTCCCTCCGTATCAAACACACTGCCATCTTCAAACTCAAACCTGAGAGTTTTTACTCTGGGCACCCTTTCTTTGAATCTCTCCAACTTTAGTCGTATTACCGAGCTGTAGAACCATGGACATTCATTCACATGGTGATAGAAAATACACATTTCGTTTGTAAAATGAAACAAGAAATGAATGTTTTTTTACAGATTTAAGCTGGTTCCCGCTTGTACTGTGCTGTGAGAGACCGGTGCTCAGCTACTGGCTGATAAGACGTCAATTCCGATACAACAAAATGAGGTGACGTCAGTGAGAGATGCAGGCAAATATATTATGATGTGTTGCCAAGATTCCTTTTCCTGTCATGTTTACATATATATTGAAGGGTTAATCAACTTTCAAATTTAGCCATAAGAAAGAGTGAGTGAGGAAAAATGGTTCATGCCGATTTTACCAATTACAGTAATATGACGGCGGAGGACACCAGAAATGGGCTTGACGCATTGTACCCATGTGGGTATCGAACCCAGACTACCACTAGGCTACCCAACCGCCCCACCCCTATAAGGAAGAGAGCAGGAGGTTGTGACATAATAAGATCATCCATACACTACAAATATAACATGTCGTATCTTCCAGAACTCACAATGTTGATGTAGTTCTACGTCCACCAAACTACCTACCCTGTGTGAGTCTCAAGGTCTCCACTGGCAGTGAACCCTTTCTCCGTGGTCTCCATCTCGGTACGGGTGGCCTTGACCTTCCCGAACACCGCCATGACGGTCTGTATAATGGACACGTTAGTCAAGAAGGGGAGGCCAGACTTGCTGAAGTCTTCTATCCAGCCGTTGTAGTTGCCTGCGACAGATTGTGAGTGAGTGCTTAACGTCGCTTTAACACGTGTCGTTGTGACGCAGAAGCAAGCCCCATGTGGTGCAGGTAGATATATTTCGTGAAACCTGCGCGCATGTGTGAGGTGCTGATAAACATGGCTGAAGTACAACAAGGGGAGGATTCTGGGTAACAGCTCACGATCACTTGTTTATAGTATACCCAAGGGACGTAGCTCTGCACATTGAATTTCAGTGCCTTGGTCACTTGTACTCCAAAGGACAGATGTTATAAGTATTTCTCTTCTTCTGGTGTAGTAAAGGGATAATACTACTGGATTATCCGGGATTGTTCAGTAGATGTCCGGAACAAAACTGTTGTTTTTCTTCAGAGTAGGAACAGTAATTTCTAGTAATATCGAAAACACCTACCTTTCAGCCTTATCTCCCCTGATATGAGCCTCGATGTGGTTGTGGCTACCTTCTCTTTCAGTCTCGCCTGTGCTTCTGTCAGGAGAGCGATGTTTTCCTCGTGTAGCACCAGCCCTGCCAATATCATGATACCATATATGGTCACCATAAGCTATGTGTGTTGCAGGCATGATATTGGTGGACAATGCTTGTGGTTGCAGATATGGTATTTTGGTATTTGTGGACAAATATGTGGTTGTAAACATGGTATTTTGGTATTTCTGAACAAAGTATGTGGTTGCAGCCATGGTATTCTGTGGACAGCGGTATTTGTTGTTCCTATACGTTGTTACCCACCCTTCTCTGCAGCTTGGGAGTACATCTGTCTGGCCTTCTGTGGACTTAAAGCAACTGGGTACTCCACCAATACGTGTTTACTGTGATCCAGCGCCCTTCTGCAAGTCACAAAACATACAACCCTGACAACCCACACTGGATCGATTATTTCAGTGGGAAACGCGGTACCCCTAGCAGCACTGTAACGTCCCGGAACACAATACTTACGGGGGAAATAAAGGGATGTTTCAGGTCAGTTTAACAATTGAGTAAAACGAGTGTGAATTTTCGAAGTTAGAGGGTCCTGGTAGTGAGTGAATATGACATTTTGTGGGGGGAAAAATTGTACCAAGAGTGGATTGGCAATCTATCCCGAAACGCCTTATCATAATATAACATCTCCACTATACTCTGGATGCATCTACGGCTTGGTCCGATGATTTAATTACCTCCCTTGGTTGGCTTTTTATCCAATCAGGTGTCTACGCTGGGAAGTTGAGCGTACCAATCACAAGTCGATCTAGCTCACTTTCGCTTTTTAAATATTCTAACCGATTAAACTTGGCAACACAATAATATATTTTCAGAGGTACTCTGAAAGAGGTAGAAAGAGTTCTTGCATATCTTTTTTTAAGGTTTCAGACCTGTCAATTTGTCTGTATGTTTTTACCCCAAACCTGAGTCGAACTGCGAACAAACTTTCGCGGCCTCGACCGCTATCTTTGTTGACACTGGCTAGCTCGGTTGTAACGGCGGATTATTGATTGGCTACTGTGAGAATGCGGAGCCAGCAAAGGGAGGTAATAAAATCATCGGGCCAAGCCGTAGATGCATCCAGATAGATGTATCTGAAAGTTTAAGCTAAACCATTTGAAAAAAAGGCATTCTCACTGTACTATATCCTCGTGTGATCCAGGCTCTGTGCACACCATCACGCCATCTACATCCGGCGACTGCAGCGCTTCATCTAGGTTCAGCTGCGGTACACCGTCAATTTCAAGAGAGCGCCTATAATGATACAAATAGTAAAACTAACAAGAAGATTAATAATGTCCATATTTATAATGCACCAAATCTGCAAAAAAGTATGTTCTAAGGGCAATATAATTAGCCTGGCCAATGGATCAGTATCGCTTGATTTTCACCTTCAGCTCACCTGTACAGTCTGTGAGGTGCTAGAAGGTTGACAGCGACATTATCAGCTCATCCTATCGGGTACCCATTCGCTGGGGGAGCAGCGGCGTATTTTGAACAATGTCACTTGCCCAAGGTGAAAACACATGAGACAGAAAATAAGTTGTTTATTTGTAACAGTGATGTACCAGTGTTTCTCTGACCTTCATCTACTCCTCACCTAATTCGTCCCCTATTCGCTTTTTCCAAAATACGAATTATTCTTCGTGGGGAATCCCATACACGACGGACGTGTCAAATACTGAATATACTAAGCCACTCGTGCCAACTATTTTTTGATTACCGTTAATGAGTACATGTACGATAGAGCTAGCGGTCAAACTGCGGTCAAACAAACCGCTCAATGAAACTGACATTGTCAAATATTGAATTCATGTACCCAATACATTTTGTTTATATACCTAGAAGCTGAACAAGCGATGTGCACAAAAGACACACATGGAAACAGCCATATCTGCCGTGAATCACTGAATACATATTTAATATGCAACAGCTTGTCCCATAGAGCGCTTTTATGGATGAGGCTGGCGTGTGTTATACCGTCGGGATTTAATATCAGGGTTTCGCGTTTATCTAGACCTCTTTTTGTCGCGTTTAGTGTTAACATTCATTGCGGCGTTAAGTATTTTCAATAAATTGACTATAACTACTTACAGTTCTTACAAATTCCTTTAGTTCAATCGGCAGCGTTCCTAAAATATAAATATATCATATCTTCCCAACGTGAGCTCATCAGACAAGGGGTTGGGGTGGGGACAGGGGGTATTTGACCTGTGCACTTTTTATGTTTAACCCCTTAAATCCAGATATTCACGTCGTTGTGTATATACCAGCCCAGATTGTATTGGGAATGTCAATAGGGTGATTATGGATGACTCTGTTTACACTAAGATTATGTGTTGATATTAGACACAGGTCTCCAAATAGAACACCAGACCGTGAAATTAATATATAATTGTGTAATTCTTATACAACTGTAATTGAAAAGGTAAGTAAAATCATTGCGCAGTGCCTGACTCACGTCTAAGTGTCACTACCAAAACGTTTCTTCATAAAGACATCGACGTGGCTTCCAGTATATATCCTATATTAACATGCATTTACTACATGCCCCAACATGCTGTATGCAGTATATAATGTTCCACAGGCTCCAGTCAGCGACCTCCTTCTCCAAGCCGGGGATGCGGCTTCAGCAGTAAATCCTCCACTCAGCGAGTCCACGGCTTACCTTGAAACAAATCCTGCTACTTTGAGCCTTTTCCCTGCAGCCTCAGCCTCCTTCAAGTCCCGGATTCTCACCCTCCCAGCAATCCCCACACCGATGACCGCAATATTAAACACTTTGGGCGTATCCGCCATGCTTCTGTCCACGGCGACTAATATCCATAAACCAGCGCACGTGCTCGTGTTTTGAAACTCTAGTCACGTGACTTACATAACGCCGGCGTAAATCTGGGTCATTGTGAAGATTGTACGTGCGCTTCATACAACGAGGTTGCTTATTTGGAGGGAACGTAGTATGCTCTTTTACCCCGTATGTAGTGTGCCGATGTTATAGTAACCCACTGCAACACCACGGGACAGGTAACCATGGATACCACACACATACACAGTATCCCGAGCTCCATTCCTTGTTATATTCCCATAATGGCGAGTGCCGGTGGTCGAACCACCAGCCTGGCTGTTGAGGCGCTCTATCCACAAGGCAAACGAATATCCCCTCTGTGAAACCCATAATCAGGGCGTCAATATTGAGTGAGTGAGTGAGTGAGTTTAGTTTCCGCCGCACTCAGCAATATTCCAGCTATATGTCGGCGGTCTGTAAATAATCGTGTCAGGACCAGACAAGCCAGTGATCAACAGCATGAGCATCGATCTACGCAACTGGGATACGATGACATGTGTCAACCAAGTCAGCGAGCCTGACCATCCGATCCCGTTAGTCGCCTCTTACGACATGCATGTGGGTTACGGAATATCAATTCTAACCCGGATCTTCACTCCAGGGTCTCCTTTCACAAAGCACTAAGGTGATCGTAAGTCACTGAGGTAACCTTGGTGCAGTGTTAAAGAATGGGAGTTAAAGTTAACCTTAGTAAAGGTTGCTTCGTGAAAGGAGCCCCTGGGCGTCAAACAGAGTACCAACAAATATCATTTCAGTATGACGCGTCCAGGGATCGAACCACAGACCACAGACCTTCCATCCTTGAGCAGACGCTTCCACTAGGTCAAGTGATGTATCAGATATGTGTGAATCTCGTTGACAGGTGTATTTGTTTATAAAATTCCAGATTTCGATAATTGATAATCAGGCTATCACAATAATCCTCGCAACAGTTCCTGTCTATATTTAAAACCTTCTTTCAGTTTGTGACAACCTCCCAGTTTCAGACACAACAGACTCAACCCATGAAACTAAACATGCTTAATAAATGTTAATCAAAATCGAACACGTCTTCGTTCTCTTTCAGAGCAGCACATTTTGCAAGTATTCCGATAACAGTATCAAAGTTTGCTTGAAATTATTTGTTCACCGAGCTGTGTTTATGATTCTCAACTCCGTGGGGAGTATACATCCCAGGCTGCCTACGGGCTAGGAGCATGTTTAATCCAAATTGCCTGTTTTGTGAAGAGAAGCACATTTGAATTCAGTCACTTACGTCCAGTGTGCGAAATAGCCACTGGCCCGGTAGCCCGTTGCTATTAAAAATCCAGTCGAGCCAGCAAACCTCCACAGTCACTGGCCCGACTGGCTGGTGAATTTTCATGGGGTCATTTGTTTTTATGGTATTTTTTGCAATATGTTGATTAGTTTCTCGATTCAAATTTCGGGCTAGTGAATTATTTTGTGGGCTAGTAAGTTTCAGGCATAGCTGGCCTGACTGGACAGCAACTTTTAGAAAATATTTCGGATACTGCTTATACGTCTGATAAGCTAACATCGGCACCTTAATACAAACTGATAGGGGAGATTAAAAAGTAAGTGTAAGCAGCTATGCGTTTGTTCTTATAAAATGTATATAACGGTTGTCAAACACAGACCAAACAGAACCACATGTCACAAATATATCCCTTTCATCTTCTTGACATAACACATACAGTGTTCAATACATCGTTTCAAACCAATACATCTTTGTAAACCACTCCAGCGAGCAAAACACAATGAGGAACTGACTATGCAAATACAATTGTCCTATTATCCCCTAAGTAGTTACTCAAGCTATAAGGAAAAAACACTGTGGTAAGTTTACTTCATTTGTTTGTTTCACAAAGTAAAACAGATAAGGACATTCTGAGAGTATCAGTAAAGGGGGCACAACTCGGTCCTGTCCAGTCTCGGACTGGTGTGGTTCGAAGCACACTTTTCACTCCTCAACACCTTTCAGTCTTGAATCGATAGTAATGGTGCTGACTACTGTTGTAAAAATGGACTGGTTTTATCCGTTCTCTCGTGAAAATGTTTTGCAAAATGTCTGAGCCGAGCCGGAAATCAGCTTCATTATATAAAACATGCTGTAATTCTAAATCAAGTTTGAGAATATTTATGTAATGTTTGAGAATACGCCGCTTTTATGTATTCCGGCGGGGTCCAGTTGAGATAACGAATTGACTTAACTGTGCAATGTCAGTTGAGTACATGACTTAACTGTGCAATTCTGTACATGCTTATTTGCCACATTTATAAATGAGGTAACTAATAATTCCTAGTTTTTGTAATAAAACAGGCTAACCTTTACATGTCTACTGTATTGTCTTATTGTATTTTGTCGAGCTTAGATTGAGTGAGTGAGTATGGTTTTACGCCATATTTAACAATATTCCACCGGGGGACACCAGAAATGGGCTTCACACATTGTACCCATATTGGGAATCGAACCCGGGTTTTCAGTTTGACTAATAATATTAATATTTAACCATTAGGTTACACTACCACCCTCGAGCTTAGATTGCTTAAAGTGTGCGTCGTTATAATCTTCTGCAAGAGCACAGTCAATTACTGTTCTACCTTTAGGGGCAGTACAGTAATCGTACATTCTGGAATACTGATTTAAAGTTAGTGCATGGTTTTCAAAATTAAAGTACGAACATGCAGTATTTCGAAATATTTATGTAAAAAGATAACAGGTCATCGATACACACATTACCGCTATAGCTAATTCTGATGAAAGCGTGTGCATATGTCTACTGCATGCACATCAAAAAGTTGATACTGGCACGCTCATTCACCTCCCTCCTGAGTTCATGGTACCGAGTTCATAGTTCAAGAGGTTATGCGGTACGTGCTGATTCTACTGAAGAAGCTTCCTTGGCTATACCTGTTTGCCGTTATTGCCAGAGGTGTTCCGTCTATCCACACACTGTTGTGCATTACCTGTTAATTACAATTTGTTCCTTTGTTCGGAAGACTACAAACACTTTAAGTTACAATCGTACCTATTTCTTCCTCTTCCGTGTTTGTAGAGAGCGATGTGTGAGAAATCAACACGCCATGCACACACGCTCCCACAGCTCGGGGCTATGCTGTTGGGTGGCGGTAGGCGAAATGAACATGTAATTCAATACACATCTTTGGAAACGGCAAATAATACACGCAGAGGTGTAACAGTCAACAAGTTGTTTATCGCCTAATTGATTCCATGGGGTAGTTTTCTGTACTGACGCAATCCAAAGTGTCCGCCCGATGCACGGGGTCATGATTGATAGCAAGGCTCGGCCAAAGGTGACGTAACTTGGCTCAAAGGTATAGCGATGAATCTGGGAACGGTTTGGCTTAAACATAATGCACTGATAGGCCTGAAATAAAAAAAATATACAAATTGTTGTATTCAGTTTACTTGTATACATACACTTTACAACTAGACTGTAACAACTTGTTGCGAAGCAAAACTCATAAAGACAAACAAGAAGCATACATTTTGTTTTATTCAGTTTACTAAGTCTTGTATACACTTTACAACAGAAAGTAACAACTTGTTGCGAAGCGAAACCCTTACACACAAACAAGTAACATACATTTTGTTTTATTCAGTTTACTTGTATACACTTTACAACAGACTGTAACAACTTGTTGCGAAGCGAAACCCTTACACACAAACAAGTAACATACATTTTGTTTTATTCAGTTTACTAAGTCTTGTATACACTTTACAAATAGAATGTAACAACTTGTTGCGAAGCGAAACCCTTACACACAAACAAGTAACATACATTTTGTTTTATTCAGTTTACTAAGTCTTGTATACACTTTACAAATAGAATGTAACAACTTGTTGCGAAGCGAAACCCTTACACACAAACAAGAAACCAGGTTCCTGGCTGAGCTGTAGAGTAACATATTTTCACAGTTTATGAATTTACCAGTTTGTCAGTTCGTCAGCTTTGTTTCAGTTTCAACCTTTTGACGATATGATAGAGTGATTGATAAAGAGCAAATAAACCGAGTGGATGGTTGATATTGCGCTCAAGGGGCGTTTCAAGTTTTAGAGCGATTTTCTTCCTATGCACGTGTGTCGTGACAACCTCCAGCGTCACGCGTCCGAACTCACTGATTTACCGACTCGGTGGACGAGAGTTGAATTTTAAGCCCCTGTGACCAGTATTCCGGTTATATCTGGGCGAGAATTGGTGGCAAGTGAGAAGTGATTCAGGTCTGATCGGACTGTACAGACATAGGCTGATCCATCCAGGAATTTTCAAGGGGGAAGGGAAATTTTAAACATGGTGCGAGATATCTAGGGGCCATATTTGGCTCACCGTCAATGCCAATGTTTAAAGTACCTGAAGGCGGAAATATTTACATGAATGTGGATAATTTCAAATTACCTGTACAGGCATTATTCGTAATGAAATATTCAAATATAGGACCTCTGGCGTGAAAAATAAACATTTCTTTAAATCAAATTGAGATATATCTCCCCAGAATGAAAGTACTTTATATAAGTTATCTCATAGCCTATAAACTAGGACTCTTATCATATCATCCCTCCCTGATAACGAACCGTATGTCTGGCAGAGCGAACAGTAAGAGCAGTATCACTGTTGATGGAAGGCCTCACCCACTTCTGTGAAACAAGGCTTTCTATCACTTATTAGACAACCCGATTTGCCTAGGCGCTGTGCAGAGTAGCGTCCCTTGGGCACATCAGAATCCTATGGTTTTGGTTCTCTTGATTATGTGTGTGGGTTTTATCCAATCTGTAAAGGTCGGAGACATGCATAACTCCGGGCTTCCCTCCCACATGAAGCTAGAACACCGTGATATAACTAGGATATTGTTAAAGCGACTTTAAAGCCAACCCAACTTCCCTAAGTCAGCCAGTTTATGTGCAATTCATTTTGAGCTGTTTGCTTGTCTCTACAGCCAGCCAGATATCAAACGTATCTACTCTCACTGTATTCTGGGCGGTGGGGGTGGGTGGGGGGT